ATCAGTTCTGTACAAGCTTTTTTTTTATAGGATAAGGGTGACAAACGAGCATACAGTCCACCTGATGGTAAGTGGCTGCTGTGACTGATAGACATCCACATCTATCCGCAATAAAAAATCAAAATGCAGATGCGTTGTCACCCGTGAGGACTAAGATGGAATGCTTCATTTCCAGTAAAAAGGGTCTCCGGTTCTCTACACTCACCACACAAAACACAGCAGCGTTTAGCTGCTATTTCACGCTGGTATTCTGTGAGAGCGTGGTCCCGGTCGAGCCGACCCATTCATGCTACAACTATACTAAACTACTAATAGCTGCAGCATGACTCTACCACGTTAAGTAGTTCGTAATTCTCAAGAGAACTCTATGGCATGAACTATTTTTAAAAGTAAACTTTATCCTTGTCGGGCAAAGAGTGTAATCTTCCCACCCGAGTTGGCAAAATATTGTTATAAACGGGGAAGGTAAGATAATTTCCCACCAAGCCCTCGAACCCCTAAAAAAATAATTATTTTTTTATTCTTTATTATAAACTTACTAATATTCAATGGATCAACACAAATAAATAATGATAAAAGCCCAGGCCCGAATAAGGGTTAAACCATAGGTGATCCATCAATAATCGGACTTTTATAGTAAATTCTATCATCCTATTTAGGCATAATTTCCGTGATCAAAGCTATCCTAATTCCTTCCCCGGGACTTAAACTATCTCGATACCAAATTTCATCTAAATCGGTTCAGCGGTTTAAGCGTGAAGAGGTAGATTTGCTCACGCGGCAATGAGCGATGTTTTCCCCCACCTTGCCTGCAGTCAAGAAATTATTATCAGCAGCTTGAAGCCAGGAAGCTAGCGGAGTTTCAACCCCGTAGCCGTAGCCTCGGAAAGCACGTAAATCCATCGGTCCCGCGCATGATCTCTTTGCGGTCGTGTTGGGTTGCCGTTCCTTCATACTTTGAAAGTGAGAAAATAGAGAGTATACCTTACGCACGCAACCGTGCATTATAATTCTCTTTGCGCAGATGGCTAATCTCCGTTGTGACACTAGCTAAAGTGAACGGGATCCGCTGTATTTTGAATGTAACAGCCTCAAAGTTTCATGGATACCTACTAGATACAGATAATGATACAAAATTAAATCACAGTTTACAGTTCTCTAACACATTTATTTATGATAATAAATGAACACAGTTCACGTTAATACCTTTTGCAAACAGTTCCAATAATTTTGACTGAACGTACACATTATTTACAGTCAGCATGTCAATGTAACAACACGATTCATGCTAAGTACACGGCATACATTTTTACAATATAATTTTAACTCGCCTGGAGCATCCCGTTACTCGTAATCTTATTACAAATTCTTTGTACAAATAATCTTCAATTACGAATGAGACATAAAATATTATTAAATAATAGACAACAGTATTAAATTATTATTTATATTAAAAACAAAGAACACTTTTCTCTCTAAAACTACTTTACGAGTATTTATTTTATTTTAAAAATGTTAAAAAGAAAGAGGTACATAGTTTTAGTACCAAAAAAATTTGCTACATGTCGATTGCTAATGATAAATAGACATTGAACAACACTACGCAACTATATCTACATTTCGAACCGTTGCTGCATAAAATATGACTAGACGATGTGGTTATTAAGTACAATATTATTGAAAAATATTGATGAGTTTCTTATACAACTCCTGATTAAATAAGCTTTTCCTACAAAATATATCTCATACAGAGTTTTAATATTAAATATACATATCTTAGTATTATATGTTAATCGATTACACTATATACAAAATTATTGTGTGTGTCACAGATCTGTTTGCGAGTTTGGTCCAAACTAGGACGATTTCTAACTAACATACACTTCGATCAACAATACTATGTTGATCGAAGAACATACAGCATAATATATGAGAATTATGAGATTATACCAGTAATATAATATAGATTAATGCTTCATGTTAATGTTTTACATTGTTATGATACATGTACCTACTAACAATTAAATAAATTATTGGTCATTGGTTTGAAAATATAAAGTTATCACAATAATTTATTTATTAGCTTGTATAACTTTATACTTTTTGCGTTACGTTTCCAAAAGTTAGTATATTACGTGGTATGAATAATTATTATAAACCAATCTCGTTGTTAATGAGTATTTTATTAGAATCGGTGGACATTATTTGTATGCGTAAATATAATAGCGGTTTTACTCGTGGCTGGTCGTTACTGATCTCAGAAATCTAAATAATAAGACACACACACAGACACATGTCTTATTATTTAGATTTCTGTGTTACTGATACACTGGCGAGCCAAACACCCAAACAATTAGTCATTAGAGCAGGGGTTCCTAAACTTTTAAGGTAATGCAACACTCACCTAATCTCCTTTTTTATGGAACCGCACATAAAATTATTACAAATCAACGACAGAAACATTAAAATTATAACAAAAACTTTTATTAAAATATTCTAAAAGTAAAATGTATAGTGCCAAATGCTCGCTAGCTACCTACGTACCTACATAACAGTAATGTGTACTTCTCATCACGTTATTAAGCATAAGTCGCGCTGATTGGCTCGTGCGTATCATTCGCATGCGCTGTTTGGCTCTCCAGTATGTTAGTACTATTATTTATTCTGTGTCTCCAGTCTCATTCGCGCAATTCAATTCGTGTGCATCCCCTTCACGTTTCGTACAGCGCTAGACTTACGTGCCGCGACTTGTACGGGAAGACGATGTTCAAAAGGACAAAAACAGGTCAGGTATGACGTGTGTAATAATATTAAATAATAACGATCGAAATATATTTTTCCTTAATGCAGAAGCACATAGCTTTTTTAATTATTACGGTTACCACTTATCACATATAACATTTACTCTACGACGTAGAAGTAACAAAAATAAGTACATTTTTATCCACACATTCGTTCTAAATAATATATATATATATATATATATATATATGTATAATAAGTTTAGCACCTACGAATACAGAATTATTACTATAAGTATTTTAAACACTCACTCTTAAAATGTCTGAAAGCAGTTTATTAAAAAAAAAACTTAACAGTTGTCTATATTTATTAAATTATTAAATTATCTTTGGCAGGAAAGTTTTAGAAACAAATATTGCACATTTTATTTAACATTCGCTTAGTTATTTGTCTTAAGCACTGATAATAACATTATCTAAAGTTAATTAATTCTAATATATCAACGATAAACCTTACTTTCTAATACACAAAACTTTTTAAATTATCTTTAAATGTGTAAAAGTTGTAACAAATTCATACATACTTATTATACAGGGTTATTTTTCAAAGAGTAGCCAAATTTTAAACTTAAGTTCAAATATATAAATAATGATATACCGTTTTTGCAGTTTTTGAAAATACGACTAAATAAGGCTTCTATTTTTATTTGTGATTTATCGGCAACATCGTTTGTGCCTACCGATCGCCTCTTAAGAATGTTGTGTGCGCAGTAAAATCGGTTAAAATAGTGGATTTACCACGCATTTTGAATTTAAAAGAAAAAGGACAGAATGTTTGAGTTTTTTTTTATAGGATAAGGGTGACAAACGAGCACACAGTCCACCTGATGGTAAGTGGTTGCTGTGGCCCATAGACATCTACACCTATCTTTGATTACGAATCAAAATGCAGAATACGTTGTCAGCCGTGAGGACTAAGATGGAATGCCTCGTTTCCAGTAAAAAGGGTATCCGATTCTCTACACTCACCACACGAAACACAGCAGGATTAAGCTGCTATTTTAAGCTGGTATTCTGTGAGAGCGTGGTCCTTCTCCGGTCGAACCGATCCATTCGTGCTACAACCATAATATAGCTGCAACATGGCTCTACCACGTATAAAAAGAAAATATTTTTTTTAATAAATTTTTCTTCACCATTTGCCTGTTTTACTTATTCTGAACCTTCTCTGCAAATCTGGCCGGTTATTGCAAAATAACCATGTATAATAATAAATAATAACATAAAAGTGATCAAACAAACAAACCAAAAGTTAACATTAAGGTAAATGGCTGGAGGTAGGTCAGCCATTACACATCTCCGACACGACTTTGTTTCCTGTGACTCCAATAATCTTGAATATTATTTTAACACAGAAATATGTTCATCACTAACATGAAATGCCTCACAGACTGTAGTTATACAGACTGTTTGACATTTTATTATATATAAATATATATAATTATGAAAATTAAATAGATAAGGTGTATATATAATATTATGTATTATTATAATAGATACAATTAATTTCTTTTGAACATTTTGAAGTCAAATAAATGTATAAGTCACAGTGAAAACTCATAACCGGTCAAAACCACTTTTGACTGTAAAAATCAGGTAAAAATTGTTTTGATCGATGATGTCCTTAGTTAAAACAGTTTTTACTGATTTCTGTAGTCAAAAGTGGTTCTAACGTTCTTAGTCAAAAGTAATTTTGGCTCATTTAAAGTTCAAAACTCGCAATATCAGTGACAGTAGATTAAGGTGCGGTTGGAGTGGCCCTTGGGCCACCCTAAAGCCGCGTACATTGTAATGAAGAAATGTAACTTTTTAATTTTAGAAATTAAAAAAGTATAAGTCAAAAGTAGTAGTCAAATTTGGGCAAAATCACTAGTATCCAATATATTTGCAGTTAAAAATAGTTTTAACCAACGTCCGTAGTCAAAAGTACTTTTTCTAAATTTTTATTCAGTCAAAAGTGATTTTGATTGGTTATGAATTTTGACTGTAACATATTTAGCCTTCTAGTTTTTAAATATGTTACATTATTGAATTTAATATCATAATATAGCATAATGTCTTTTTGAGAAATCATTTAAACTTACTTTATATTATTAAGTTGTAGATAGCCGAAATCATTAGGCCGGAAATATTACTTTTAAAATAATACTGCTCCATACCTTAAAGCTTACTAAGTATCTTTTAAAACCGACAAGTTTCTTAAACATAAAACCAATGTCGCCAAGTAAAGCGGCTGACTGGAGCTCCACCGCGGATCGCGTCATGTTCTGCTTCGGGTGATATACAACAAGCTACGCGCTGTGGAAATAAATAATAAATAAACATTGTCATCATAAATAATATAACAAAACTTAGTTTTACTTTACAGATCAAAGCTATACCGTTACTATTGAAATGATGATGTTAAATTATTGGCAATAACCTAATCAGCCCATACGTTTAGTGCCACCAAGTTATTTGCGTAGTGGATTTTGACATATGGTTTAACGTCACTAAAAATCTCTGGGTTCAACCATGCAGGCATTCATACCGCAGATAAATTTATAGGAGGTTTTTCTACTTTTATTAAGCCATTGGTGGACTACAAATGCACTTAGTGTTAAGCGGTAATAAAGCCCTAGACGATAAATTGCACTGTCTTAGCATAACAAAAGCCTCACTCTTGCCTTGAAGACACTTATAATTGGATGGACAAAGTATGATTTTAGGAGCGAATACCTGTCGACATGTCCCGGACGTAGTTATCAGCTTGTAAATCGCAACAATTGGTATCATGAGGATGGAGGAGCATGCGAGACCCCAGCCCAGCACCACCGCCCACTGCGGGTACGTGTACTGCTGGTACTGTAACGGCTGCTGGTACAGCAGCCCGAACACCACTACGCCCTGAAATATATCAGTGTCATCTTTTTTAAATCAAACTAATTTTACGGATTTTATCGCGTGTATTAACTTTATTTTATATTCCCGACGTTTCGGGTGCTTTCCAGCACCCGTGGTTACGGGGGACTGAGGTTTTTGACGTCCTGATGTCATACTTAGCCCGGCTACCTTCAGTTTTTTAATATTAATTTTTGGTTCGATTTACGCAGAATGAGCTTACAGTATCTTGAAGTCTAGCAGTGGTATACTTGGGTTTGGATTTGATTTTATTAATTATGGGATCCCAAGCAGATGGCAGCACCCATCCATCTTCTCAATTGAAATTAGGATGGTTTTTAATTTCAATAGCCTCGCGAATCATCCTTGGGAGGAATCGGTGTTCTTTTGCGAGGATTTGTGGTCTATCAAATCTCAAGTGTCATCTTGGTCAAATTCAATTACGGAGACAACTTCCGAATGCTGTTACGTATCAACTGCGTATAAAATATTAGCACAAGATCACTCGCTAATAAAGAGATACATCCTAACCCACTACTACTACTAATGCGATCAGGATGAAATCTCCTTCGGCAACCAGCCTCAGTCGCTACTCCCTCCGCGCCTACGGCTTTACAAGGACACTAGTGGTAGGGCAGATAAGACTACGTGGAGTCGAGGCATGCTAATTCGGTTTTAGTACAGATTCGACCTATCTTTATGTATAAAGTCAGGTTGCCCTAAGCTCTGTTATGAATGAAACAATGCAATGTGAATTGTTATAATTTTGTTTTCTGAAAAATCACTCTCTCCACTGCTACTCAATTTGTTGTGTATGACTCCCATCTTCAGTCACAAACTTGGGTGTACCCATGTATAATAAAAAACAAATTGACATATTTGCGTATCGTTATAATATGCAATATTTAGTGAAATTTATTTTTATCGTAATTAATTCAAACCCCGTTTATCTTAATTCCATCTTAACCCTGACAAACCTCCTAAACTGAAAACATAATTAAAATCAAGCACCAGACGTCTACTTCATAATACTAGACCAATTTGACATATTTACGTTTCGTTATATGCAATATGTAGTGGAATTTATTTTTGTCGTAATTAATTCAAAGCGCATGTCCGACATCCAAAAACAGAGTTAAAGGTTCAAGTTTAACCCTGACAAGTCTACTAAACTGAAAATATAGTTAAAATCAAGTACCGGTAGTCTATGCCAACCCATTATTTATTCTTGTATAGTGTATTTAATGTTTATATGGTGTTTTTTATATATAGTTTTAATTTATGTTAATAGAATTTATATTTAAAAAATAACAGTATATTGTAGTTAGCACATCACCGAACTAAGACATATCTACCGTTTTACAATCCTGTCCATCAAAAGGTTGTCTGGAAGACTGCCCATTTTATTCCTTTCCACATGTTGTATTTTTTGTCTCTTATTTTGTGTTATGGCGTGTGCAATAAAGAATTATCCATTTATCTATCTAGTCTTTATACATCCCACGGCTGGGCACAGGCCTCTTCCCATTCTGAGAGCGATTAAGGTCTCAGGATAAGAATAAATTAGCGGATTAATACAGCACAGCTGGATCCTAACAATATTTCATAGTATAGGAGTGACCAACGACCACACAGTCCACTCGATGGTAAGTGAATGTGGCACAGAACACCTACATTTATCGTCGATTAAGAATCAAAATGCAAATTCGTTGTCATCTCTGAGGACTAAGATGGATTGCCTCGTTACTAGTAATTATACTGGCTTTGTATACCCTTCAAACCTGAACACAGTAGTGCATTAGATTAATAGACAATAAGATGAGTAGGTAGTTTAATAAGTAGTTTGTCAGGTAGTTCATATATTTTATTTTACTTACGATTTAAATTAAGTTTGCATCTTATTATTCATATTTGTCTATAAAAATCTAACATACGAACTGCTGCTTGACGAAATAATTAGTGTAGAGAATGGTACATGACCAGGCGATACTCCTAGGTAGAAAAAAGTTTTACTACTACCATCTAGATATAAACTATTAACTACTTGTTTTATACACTTACAATAATGAATATAGGACTGATGAACTTCCAGCATATCCTCCAATATATTCCTGGTCTGAAGCCTAGCATCTCTTCAACATCGTCGGAGAACCTTTTTAAACCTAGAATCAAGCAGATGGTGCAATAGTAATACAGCAAGGTACTACAATTATAAATTGGACCGATTAAAAGTGCTCAATCGATACAATACAATTCAATTATCAAGACAATTTTTGAAAAAACAGGTAAAGAAACATTATTTGTTTCTCTAATTACTCTCCCTTTATCTTTTCTTATCTTATCTTTCACTATTGCCTAAAGTTTGATGTCTTTTTAGTGCATAAGTTGTTATCGTGAATTTTTATAGTGCACCAGACTTCAAAAAAATGGAGTAAGTTCTTACGACTGTATTTTTTTAATGTGTGTTACCTCTGAACTTTTTTTCTAGGTGAACCGGTTTTGAGGATTCTTTTTTTTTATTTGAAAGCTGGTGTTTTTTATGTGGTCCCATATAAATTTGATCAAGATTTGACTAGTAGTTTTTGAGTTATTGTTAATAATGCGTACCTATTTAATTGAATTCGACTACATTGATGATGTTCTAATTTTATTTATATTAAAGTCGATTGTACAAAATATTTAATTGTACCGCATTTATTTAACTCTTTTCTTAGGTTGTCTGGAAGTTATTGTTGGGTAGCAATAAGAGCACCTGTTTTCTACAGACTTCAAAATGGAGGAGGTACTCAATTCGACTGTATGTTTTTTTTTATGTGTGTTCTCTCATAACTCTAGTATATATACAATAATCTATGCTCATAACTTTTTTCAGGGTGAACCGATTTCAATGATTTTTATTTAAAAGCTGGTGATTCTCGTGATGTCCCATATGAATTTGATCAAGGTGTGACCAATAGTTTTTGAATTATTCTTAATAATTTATATTGAAGTCGGTTGTACAACATTTTTTATTTTAAATTATCTTCTTTATTGTCTGTTTTTTGATATTTCCTTAGGCGTTGGTGGAAATACTTTTACTTCCGAAAAATTAAATAAAAACTAAACATTTAAAAATTAAATTTAAAAACAAAGATCATATACAGCCTATCACAAGTCAATCAAACCAACTTGAACTTACCATAAAACCAAGACACAGCTAGAGCCTCGAAGAGAGCGGAACAGAGTAAAGATATTCCGGCTGCGTAGGTGTCCAACAAATGGAACATGTAAATGCCACCCTGAAAGCATAACGATATTTTTAATGCATATAGGTACTCGTACAATATCCATCAAAAGTAGAATTGTTGATTGTGATTTGGAAACCAAATACAATCTTAATTTAATATTAATAATCTATTATTATTGCTTTTTCTGGGTTTGACGACAGCATGGTCAAAGGGCCGAGAACCTAAATAATACGTCAATATCAATTGCGATAGCCGATATTATACCTTAATATGCATATTCGTCCTAACTTACCTGTACCTGACATAGCACTAATTGGGTAAGACCGCATGTAGATTAGAATGCAATGTCGGACGAACGGCGTCAATCACAATATTATCATACTCAAAATTCATCCTAAAGCTTGTCAAAAGTTTACCTACGGCCACACTTCGCACGACCGCAGTTTTTCAATATTATTATTGATTTCTACCGACATCAAAAAGGAGACGGTACTCAATTCGATTGCATGTTTTTTTTGTGTGTAACTTTTTTCTGGGTGAATCGATTTCGATGATTCTTTTTTTATTTTAAAGCTGGTGCTTCTCATGTGATCTTATATAAATATGGTCAAGGTCTAACCAATGGTTTTGGAATTATAATTAATAATTTATATAGAAATCGGTTGTACAAAATTTTACCTCTTCCGACACCCACGGAAAGATATGGGGTAGTGGATTCCGTCGTCTATATACAACAAGGATCCTCCGCTACCCGAAATTACAAAATAATATTCAAACTCAAGACGCGTGACTTAGAATACAGTTTCTCTTTCTAACACTATAAGCCAGGGCTTACAGTGGTAAAAAGAGATTTACTATCTACTAAATTTACTATCTAATACATCTACTATCTACTACATCTACTATCCTATCTACGGTAAGTGGTGACGCTGCAACAGAGGTAAGTAATGCACACTGATTTTCTTTTTTTTACATGGGGATATGCCAACTCATATCTGCCTCTTGGGGACAAGGATAGATTATGTCGCATCTACTAAAACCCCATGGTGTTTCTTTGCCGTATATAGGCAGTGTGACTTAGCTTAAGAAAAACATAACCCTCGTTTTTGTTCGTCATAACGGGTAAAAAGCCTATCCACTCTTGACGAAGTGTGACTTAACAAAATCATAATCTTCCTTTATTATTCGCCTAAGTCGCGTAAAAAGCCTTTTCACTCTTGCCTTGAAAACACCCACGTAGTCCGACCGCTAGTACGTACGGTAGGTAGTCAGTTCGTGAAGACTCACCGGGGTGACGTTGATGCAGGCGACACAGAAGGAGATGGAGACGACCAGCAGCGTGAAGTGCTCGCGGCGTAGCCACGTGGCACCACACGCGCGCGCCTCGTCCAGCAGCCCCGTGATCACGCATTCCAGACCACCCATCTGACCACAAGTGGGGTTAGCCAAGTTTATTTAAAAAAATTAATAATAATAATATTTTAAATCGATTAATTTTGAGTTCTTATTAGGAAGATGCTGCTGCCCATCTCTTGTTTTAGTTTCTCTCTGTGGCTTCTTATGACACCCACGGGCACAGGCGTAACTAGGGTGAGGCAAGTAGGGCACATGCCCCGGGCGCCTTTCAGGGGTGGGGGGGGATCATTAATTATTAAATTTAAAAATCAAAATAAACCAATTCATATCAAACAACCCTTTACACGATTCCCGCGCTTCACGAATTACCGAGAGCGAATGAGTACTGTGCGCAGATAGTGCACTTGCGCGTTCGAATCCGACACGCATTTGTAACTCGACCTGAAAGTTTTCGGAGCTTTGGATTAGAGCACGAGGCGCACAGAACATTGACTTCATTAGACGTAACCTCTCCAACTTTACGTTTAGGTTCAGTTGGTTGGTTGGACTATTCGGTGATCGCGGCCAGTTTTCTCCCTCGCGATAATTGAGATAACACTGAACAGTTGCCATCTAGTCGTCATAATAAACTCAATCTTATTTTTATCGAACCGCCGGGTCGCGACCAGATCCACTTTCTGTGGGACCGCTTCTGGAAGAAAGAGTTCATCATATAGCCCCTCTTTCTGTATGAATTCGGCGAGTTGCTTGCTCCTTGGGTTGAGTTACCCTATCCCGAATTTCCCTATTTTTATCTCACTGTTCTCTCTTGTGCCTAGTTTTGTGTTGAAGTCTCCTATTAACATCGTAAATTAGCTTTTGCAATTTATGGCTCTAGATCTATCGTATATAATATCTCTAGAGATATCCTCATACATTTCCTCTACCTCCTCATCGGGATGTGCTGAGGTTGGTGCGGAAACCTGTACGACCTTCAACGAATACCGTTTGGTGATTCTGAGTATAAGATACTCAATCTTCGTTGTTAAGGCCCTCAGTTGTCCCGACAGAAGTCGACTGGACCAAGGCCCATGAGTGATCCACTTGACGGGCAACCAGAGGGTTTGGGCCAAAATGACCTATGGATAATTGTTATTTAATGGCTGAATAAGCAACACAACTTACCGAGTTCCGGAGGTAGGGTCGACCACAAGGCGCAGTCAGGTGGTAAGTAGTGGATGTAAAGTGGTGTGTGAAAGTGTGTAAATGTAACCTGACGTCACCGATGCCGCGGACAGCAGAACCACATTCGCGTCTTTGTTCCACAATGCGCCATCACTCCAGCGGGCGCTCACCAATTGAAACTTTCTGCTTTTATCTCACTATATTAGTTTATCAATTTTATTATACATTTAATTAACTTCAAATTTAACTAAATCAACGTTAATCGAACTTAAAACAAGTGACACACTGCACAACTTAAGAACGGTCGGCCAAAGTTCAATGTTCCATGTTCACTTAGCACAAACTTATAATCGAGCATGAACGCCCTCTCCTCTCGAGTCACAAAGTTTTAGCGTTCCGCCCGACAAAGCAAACATTTCTTCGTACGATATTAAAATGCCACACAAGCCACTCGTCGACGCAAATGAATGGCAATCGAAGTTAAGTTAATTACTCAAATTCAAGAAAAGCCTCGTTGTCACGTAAATGCACGAAAAAGACAACGCAATAAGAGGCGGTCTTCACGCGACCTAATGATTCGTGCATAACTTGCAGACTGACTGGACAAGGCCGCCGCGGGCAAACGAGTCCCGCCAGCCCAAGCCATCAAAACCGGTTGGTATCCCACACGTCAGGCGACCGAGACGAGCGTTTTGAATGCAAGTTTTAAATGTTAAGATTTGGCCTAAACACTCGTTGACACACTCCTAATCTTTACAAAGTTGTTAACGAGAGACTTGTAGACGATAAATCCGACATTTCCTTGGAACAGATGGTCGCCCTCCCGGTGACTGAACATGTTGTCGGATTCGATGATTACCGTGTCCTATAATATCCCATTGTAACTTGTCTATCTCTTCTTCTACCTTCACAATCTTCGTGCGTGCGTTATATTTTTTTTATAGGATAGGGTGACAAACGAGCACACAGTTCACCTGGTGGTAAGTGGTTGCTGTGGCCCATAGACATCTGCATCTATCCTCAATAAAGAATCAAAAGATGCGTTGTCACCCGTGAGGACTAAGGTAGAACGCCTCTTTTCCAGTAAAAAGGGTCTCCGGTTCTCTACACTCACCATACGAAACACAGCAGCGTTAAGCTGCTATTTTACGCTGGTATTCTGTGAGAGCGTGGTCCTTCCCCGGTCAAGCCGACCCATTCGTGCTACAACTATACTACTAATATAGCTGCAGCATGGCTCTACCATGTATATGTTGCCAGGTCGAATCGTCTTAAGTGGCAACCGAACCTCTCATGAACTTTAGTTGTAAAATAGAAAATAAATATGTTTTGTAAAATTTATTTCTGTTTTATTTAGCGTATTTGTTTTTTATATTAGAATAATATACAAATTGTGCGTGCCCTAGGCGGCATTTTCGATTAGTACGCCTCTGCCCACGAGACAATATGGGTTAGTGGATCTTCTTACACCACCATTACACGGTGACTTAATTTTGATATCATTAAGTATAATGGTCTTCGATTTTAGAAAGTCAACAGAGAAAGTTGTGATAGTAAATATATAATTTTATTTATCTGTATAATGCATAAATAAATAGTAGTTAAATATAAATATCATTTTATGTTATAGTCAAATTGCTGTTTTGTTTTTTAAATTTCTACATCTACTTCAAATTTTCATCGCTCCACGTTCCATGGATGAACTGCCCAATGATATTAACTCCGCCCTTTGTTTTATTTTATAAGCAATACAGATTAAATCAACAAATTTTTCTAAGCGTAGATGCTTTATTTTTAATGTTATTTTTGAACTCGCTCGGGAGCTATTTAACTGTAAAGAATCTCTTATAAAGGCACTTTTTGATAGATTGTATTGTGGATTTTTTTAATAAGTCATTATAAAAATAAATGAAATTGAAGTGTCCGTTTGTAATGTCAAATAACAGCTTTTAACTAAATAAAGTATATACGGTACTTATATCAAAAATACAATTTATTATATTTTTATCTGTCTGTCTGTCTATTTGTTCCGGCTAATCTCCAAAACGGCTGGTCATAAGGAGTAACTTAGGCTACTTTTATTTTAGAAAAAGAATTAGGGTTCCGCGCAAAAAAATTAAAACCTCAAATAGCACGCTGGCGAAGTAGCAGGAAAGAGCTAGTATTTTATAAATTTAATATCTGATATGACTTCATACTTACCTAGCTAAAGATCACCAATTGTGAAAACAAAAAAGTGTGGGTGTAGTGGGTATAGTGAAGGTTCACATTGAAGTTGATAAGAATAGCTCAATGCAAGAGTCTACAATACAACAAATAAGTTGCGTGATTTTCAATTTTACCTCTTTTTTTCTAGCCTTCTTAAATTTTATAAAAAAATACATAAATGTGTATTTTTATCAATAGTCCTCCTACTACGTGCTTCTGCAAGCAATACGGTCAAGGAACGGCATTGAAAACTTTGGATATGATGACAGAGGTACGAGAACGAATAGTCTAAAACATTTTGTTCCGTATTACTTAAAACTTGAATTCAACCGGGATTCAGCTTACTGTGTCATATATCTTAATAATATGCAAACACACAAAGAAAGATAGATAGAGTGATGCCGAAACCATGCTCACTTCTTAACGCACTCACGCACTCATCTTTCTTCTTTCTTTCTTTATCGGCCTGTAAAAGTTAAACGCTTGACGTGCATTTATGCACTTAAAACCATGTTGTTGATTGAAAATGATTTTCAAACCACTTCAAAAAAGGAGGAGGTTCTCAATTCATCGGATTTTTTTTTAAATGTATTTTTTGGTTTGGAAGGGTATACCTCTCAGGTGGTCCCATTTAAATTTTTTCGAATACGGTCGAGGGGTTTTAAAGAAAACAACAATAAATCATATTCATATTGAAGTCGTTTGTACATAATTTTAAATTTACCACTTGAAGATGCATATGTACGTACACAGAGTACTTGTTCTTAAAGTTCAGCGTGGTTTTGGTTTGGTTTTTGCATAACTTGAAATGTACGCAGAGTTCCAGCATTATATACACTTCAGATATTTTTTATTATTTTTATTTTATTTATTTAAAATCAACAAAATTACTAAAATGACAATATGCTAATAACATAATAAATGTAACGTGTTACCCCCGAGTCCAGTCCGAGCATAATCAGCATGAAGAAGAACAGCATCGCCCACAAGCTAGCGCCGGGGAGAGTTGCTACAGCTTCGGGATACACTTGGAACACCAAACCTGGTCCTAAATTATAAAAAGGTTTAACATAAATACGTTTAGGAAACTTTTGTTGAAATAGAGATAAAGAATTATAAAGGTGGTAATTAATATATATAGAGACGAATATAATAAGAACATTCTATATCTGTAACTAAAATTGAAGTGTTTGTCGAAATAATTATAGATTTAGTAACTAACTAATACTATATTTATGGAAATAACTGCCTTTCATCATGCACTAATTATCGGGTGATTTACATACCATTGACACATGAATAATCATTTATAAAATTTTGTTTATTGGTCTGTCTGTCTGTCCGGGCTAATTTCAGAATGACTCAACCGTTTCTAATGAAACTTCATAAACAGATAAACAGCAATAACAGGAAAGATTTTAGCTAAATTTAAAAAGTTAAATTTATCCGAAAACGTTAAAGATATTTTTTAGAAATGAAAAAATTGACAAAATAATCATTGATGATTTTTTTTAAACCTGAATGACGCCTCCTTAATAGATCCCAAGAGGAGCTGGGGCGGGTCGCAAGTTTTAATGCACTTTTAAGTCTATTAATTTACAGTTATTATATATTTTTTATAGGAGAGGGGGAGCAAACGAGCGATGCACAAGTAAGTGACTACCGCCGCCCATGAACAATTGCAACACCAGGGGAACCAGAGGAATTGCAGATGCGTTGCCGGACTTTTAAAAAGGAGTAGGCTCTTTTCTTGAAGGTCCCTATAGTAAATGTTAGGTGGCGGTGTTAAATGATACATCGCTATTTCTCCACTCGTGGGTGTGGTAAGAGGCGATTATGGGAAATGCCAGTATAACCTTATACATGGCGGCATAACTATCTTGTTTTAGGCCAGATGTAAAATACCCAGACCAGAGACGGGCTTCAGATCAAAGGTGTTTCTGGTACTGTGATCGTTAGTCCGTCTGTCAGGCGATAAAGGTGAATATTTTCTACAACTGAATAAGCCAATGGCCAGCTGTGGACTTTTACGGGCTGTTGAAGACAAAAAAGTATATATTATTTACATTTATATTCCGAGTGTGTGTTCAATACGAGAAAGTATAAAATTATATTTATATTCCGAGTGTGTTTTAAATACAAGAAAGTATATAATTATATTTATATTCCGAGTATGTGTTGAAGACAAAAAGCATATATTTACATTTATATTCCAAGTGTGTGTTGAAGTCAAAAAGTATAAATTTATATTCCGAGTGTGTGTTCAATACAAGAAAGTATATAATTATATTTATATTCCGAGTGTGTGTTCAATACAAGAAAGTACATAATTATATTTATATTCCGAGTGTGTGTTGAAGACAAAAAGTATAAATTTATATTCCGAGTGTGTGTTCAATACAAGAAAATATATAATTATATTTATATTCCGAGTGTATGTTGAAGACAAAAAAATATGTAATTATATTTATATTCTGAGTGTGTTCAGGATACGTATTACATATACGACATAAATCATGAAATCAATATGGTACTATGATTACCTTCAGTGGCAACGGAAGATATTGGTACTCCTTGCTTGTGTGACATGAAGCCCAAATACGTGAAGATTACAAAACCAGAGAAGAACGACGTAAAACAATTCACCAAGGTCGTAATGAGGCAGTCTCTGCAATATTTAAAAGCACAATTCTTGTTATTGTAAACTGGTTAAATTCAACAATTTTTGTTTTGTGTATGTTTTTATCATAAAAGATAGCTTTAGGTAACTTATCCTTAGACGATAATTCATATCTGACTAAATATAAAATATCAGCGACCTATGGACCTATTACCTATTAGCTGAACATTCAAAATTTTAAATTAAGTTCAAGAGAAACGTTATCGTCACCTACAAGTAGGTATAAGCATAGAAATCTCACGTACGTTACGTAATTATAAGTGATAATAAATTAATATTCATCATTATCGTTCCTATAAAAATATCGTCACCCAGCCATATCACGTAACATTTGTAACATAGCAGCACCACTACTCCCAACACCACTACACTAGGTAAGACACACCACTGACGATAATACGCCACGTTCGCCTCTACTCAAGGTATCTTCAGGTGATGTAGAATCTGCGGTGGCTGACTGCTAATTGAGCGGCGAGCCAAAAGAACTGCTATTTATACAACTCACTGACGCATCCCTACTTAAGTAGCGAGCGACTGCGTCATGCGATAAAACATGCGACCAATCACCACCTGATGTACGCAGCCACTTTTAAAATTAAACCATCAAACCGCTGCGTAACGCCCGCCTACCCTCCAAACACGCAACCAATCGCATTTTTTTGTATTAATTTTGTGTAAAAGCCCATTTTATGTGTGTCATCAAGCTACGACGCGAAACTGATCAAGTACATATGCTTAATGAGAAGGTGTGGTATGCCTTGCAGTAGGACGCTTGATTTATTATTATATTTTACATACCTGTAACAATTATTGTGGAATGTGTTATAACTGGCATAAGACAGGTGGACTCCAAAGCCGGCCCCGACTGAGTAAAATATTTGAACTGCTGCATCCACCCAGACCTATGAACAATAGGGAATTGATTGTATTCATCATTACAGATCTTCACAAATTCACTGCTGAACATTGGACTTACCCAGTTAGACTATTTGTCCCGGGTAAACATACTCGTTAAGAACTTCGAGCTTAGTGCTCCCAACAACTACCGGCAGGTGAGACATGGACATTAAACATGCTTTTTGTTTTGTCCATGTTTTATCTTAAGAGCTATCCGTTGGGAGGCACTATTGAGATCATTGAGCATAGTGCTTAGGTCGACAAATCAAAGGTGAGTGATGTACTCGCCATTGATTTTAATACCGTATTGTTTCCAGTCCAGTAGCTTGAAAACGTCTTCTAAAGCAGCGTTGAAGACTTTCGGGGATAAACGTTACCCTGTCTTACACATTTCTGCATTTGAATGGGTTTCTTACTCTGGTTCTGTATTCGAATAGCCAGCACTTCGATATACCGACAGTCAACTTGGCACCGCTGATCATTAGGAACTGATTGCAGGCCTCCCCATTGATTACCTTAATCCCCCCTGATTTTGTCATAGTTGATTGGCAACCACAGTTTTTTTTTAATAATATTTATGGTATTTCTCTTATAACCTGTTATTCTTACCTGTGTGTCCCTAAGTCTGCTAAGCTCGGGCTGGAGGTAGTAAGCGATACCGCGCGTCGCTCCGGGCAGTAGTAACCCGCGAGCAAGTAGGATAGACAGCACCACGTATGGCATAGTAGCGGTCATCCACACCACCTTACCTGAGGATGATAGAATAACTTTTAATATATAGATTTCTTTTCTCTTTATTTATAATGGGGGTTTTACCCTGAGCGGAAATGACAGCCCCATTATGACCTAATCTTATTGACACACAATTTAGAAGTTCTGGAATTATTGGTGTTTCAAAATTAATGCAAAAAAGAAATTGACAATTACGTTTACGAGTTTTTATTTTATATTTATATGGTTATAGAATATTGAGATGGCTTGGTGGCGCAGCGGCTAAGTATTTAGTTGTGGCGGTGCAGGCCGTGAGTTCGAATTTCACAATCAGTAGTTGTTCTAGATATGTATGGGCCCTTGCGCAATTTATGTATGTAATCATATTAAGCTAGGTAGACTGAGCCAGATTTGTAGACGGTGACCGCATTTAGATATTAAACGTAATTTGAATGCCCGTGTATAGCCATCGTCGATCAGCATCACTACCAGCCAGGTGTAGCAATTGGATGTGTGAAGCCGAAAATTGGGCTTCGTGGCGCCTTAGGGGAGGCCAGTGTTCAGCAGTGAACTGATGCAGGCTGGTAATGTCGATGATGATGATGATAATGATGGTGGTGATGAAGTACTCACCCGAGCTCTTAACGCCTTTAAACAATGACAGATATAGGGTAATATAGACAACGCCCAAGCAAGCAACAAGCTGCCACTTAGGCAGACCCAGGTCGTTTAGACCTTCCGAATACTGCATCTCTAGGACTGCCCGGCTGTAAGAAACAAATTTAAATAAATGAAAATTAAATTATACACAATACTATAATATATACGGTTTAGTATATAATATATACGGTTTGGAATGAAAAAAGAGATGTCAAATCTTCACCTCATCAATAATCGAGTTAGAATCACCAGTACAATTTGTTAGATTTCGATTACTATTGAACCTTTCGAATAGAAATGAATACTTGAAGTAGAATAGCGCAAAATATAATACAGTGTTATAACATTTCAATTTATACTTAGGAAGAAGAAAAGAAGATGGGGTCAAATTAAAAGTACATTTTCTAATAGAACAAGGGTGACAAGCAAGCACACAGTTCACCTGATGGTAGGTGGTTGCTGCGACCCATAGACATGTACATCTATCCTCGATAAAGAATCAAAATGTAGATGCGTTGTCACCCTTAAGGGCTAAGATGGAATGCCCCGTTTCCAGTAAAAAGCGTTTCCGGTTCTCTACACTCACCATGCGAAATACAGTATTATTCTGCTGTTTTACGCTGGTATTCTAAGAGTGCGTGTTTAACTCAGGTTGAGCCGACTCAACCGACCCATTCGTGTGGCTCTACCATGTATAAACCCTAAACCGATGAGGATGTATGCGTAAGTATATGGATGTGAAAGGAGTGCGAGAAGCGTGTAAGGATCGTGCCAAATTAAAGTTCGTAGTCTCTGCCTACCCCTTTGCGTAACAGGTGTGAGAGTTTATGTATGTATGAATGGTGGCAAAGGATAGACCAGAGAGTTACACTAACTTTTTAATTACTTTTTAATCTCATTTGCACGCAGTGTACCAGTACTGATTTACTAACGTGACACTGGCAATCAATTAAAAACAATCTATCCTAAAATAAAAATAAGTGTAAAGTATAGTTACAAGGCACCAGTATAGGTTTCCATTAATTTCATGGAGAGTTATGCAGCAATTAGTTTACGACGTTACTCCAGTGCGTGTTAGCGAACTTCACGTCTTCGAAATATTTTTATTTATTAAACATGCAGGTATAATCACGATGTTTTCCTTCACTGGAAGGCACGTGGTAAATCAGCACTGAATATTGCAATTACGAACTTAGTGAGTGACGGTGGGGATGAAATCCAGGTTCCTCGCGTAGTGTAAAATTTATGGCAAACACTTAGTTCAAAAATCTTCTTATTTTAACACAAAGTTTATTAATATTTACACTCAGTGTTACTCACTGAAAAAACTCAGAAGCCGGAGTGAAGTGTGAGAGTGGTCCCTGGTAGGGCATGTCGGTGCGGTTGGTGGAATTAGTTCGACCAGCGTCCCAGCATTGCTCCGTGTTCCAAACATTATTGCAGTGCAGCCAGGGCAGCTCCGAACGCGCCGACGACACCAGAAAGTAGAACGCCCAGCCTACATTTGCCAAAACCATTAAAATATTTTCATTTTATAAAACCGTTACAGCCTATTAAAGTCTACTGCTGAACATAGGCCTCCCCATAGATTGGGGCATACGTTTTATTTTTATTTTTAATCGTTATTAGGAAGACGTTGCAGCCAATCTCCTGATTTGTTTCCCTCCGTTGCCTCTTACGACAACCACGGGATGAAATAGGGTAGTGGATATTCTTACACCGCCACTACACGGTATTATGATAAAAAAAAAATTGTATATATACAGAGAAGATAGTGAATTATGAAGCGCTTTTGTATAGGTATACTCCTAAACTTTGATGTAACATTATAAACATCATTATTACAGCCCTTCGCAAGTCCCCTTCTAAACAGGCCACCTTCCAGATACCTGCCATCCATGGAATTCCTGCATGTCTTACCGGGTTGTCACTACATTTAGTGGAAAGTCGCCCTACACTTCTCTTACCGGTGCCTTTTTAGAACCTTTCTTCCCAATATTTTTCATATACAGGGTTATTTTGCAATAACTGGGCAAAGCAGAGAAAGTTTACAATAAGTAATATAAGCAAATGGTTGCCGTAGCAATGGCCACACTGTCTTGAAAGCACTTCAAGTGATTTGGTTGATTTACGCTATCATTTTGTGAGAAAAAAAAATAGATATATACTTTAAAAATCTAAATATTATGTAGTATGATTTATTAACTGTTAAACGCAACTATTCAGCTGAAATTATAGTAAATGAAAATCACAAAAAAGTAATACAATTGCTTTGTTTAAACAACAAGATATCTACTTTTTATAAATAACTGTTCCAAGTTACAACAGGACAGACAAGGAAGTAAGAAAATTTGAATGTGCATGCAGTTTGTATTAAGCTACTGATACACCAAACTAATCATAATTTGCGTTTTTTACTTCCTTTTTTAATTGAAAATTAATATGCAATAATTTATCGATATAGTAACTCAATTTAATATTGTTTTTTCCAATAGACTATATAACCTTGAAATCGGTTTTAGAATATAGACTGTCATCAACAATGAACATTGGACTACATTCCAGCTTGTTTTAAATATAAGTGTTTATTGCTATAAATATTGTATTAAAAATGCAATAATTCTCATTAGTTGAGTAAAACTTTTACTATAAATAAAATATGGAATATCTTTTTCTCAACGGTAACTGGTAACACATATAGATAAAATAATTTTTGTTGTTCAAATAAACGTAGAAGAGGATTATCAACAGAGTGAGTGTGAGCGAGAGTTAAAAAAAAAACAAACTTACCTATGATAACGTTGTAATAGAAGGAAACATAAAACGCAACCATTACTGCGCAGAACCCTACGCCTGTAAAACAAATTAAATTATTGAGTTGACATGCTTTTATTTCATCATTATCACCACATTACAATCCTTCACATTTTCTGTGATTTCAGTAGCCTGAGGCTTTTACAACTTCATCGAACACAGCCCCTTACAAGTCCACTACTGAACAAGGACTTCCCAAAAAAACACGATCCAGAGCCATCTGCATCAATGGATCTACTCTCCTTCATGTTTAACACGTCGTTATTCCATCTCATTGGAGTTACTTTTACTTTAAAATTACAGCCTAAATTCGTCGCATTAGGTTGTGCATACTCTAGTGTGTGCTGTTGGACATCACATGTCCTTAAAATATTTAATTTCTCAGAGATACAGACTTCTAACGATGTTTTCCTTTACCGCAGAGCACGTAATAAATCAGTACTAGCCATTGAGTTATATGTACTACGTATTAGAGAAGCTATTCCAAATAAAAATCGTGCGCTACTCGAGGGCGCATTCCAGAAGACTTTAATATAAAATAAGATATTAATATAAAATACTAATATAAAATTTATTTAAGAATTTAATATATAAAATTCTCTTATTTTAATCGAAACAAACATATTTCTATATAACATGTAATAATAACTAACTTATGGAATTCACAAATCTTCAATTTACGCAATATTTAGTTTGTACGGATTGCAGTACAGTTCAGTTGAACATAGCCAGTGTTTGGAATGCGAAATCTAGTGCGTAGTACATATATATGGATGGTACTAGCCATCAGCGCAGAATAGGATTACAGTGACCAAGTGTAAGCGCAAGAACAGGTGCACTCTTCCTCACTCTCATAGTTCGATGAGATGGTAAACTAATCCCACTACAGGAGAGAAATCAGGTGCAGGCCGAACGGTTTTAAATGCTTACCGAGGCACGGGAGTGAAAAAACACCGCCTACTTCCTGACCCCGCGCTGCTACTGAGAATTTCTTGACAGAATAACTCAATTATTGATTTTGACCCGACGCAGGATTCGAACCCGGGATCTCGTGATCGGCAATCGCATTTACGACCACTAGACCAACGAGGCACACAATAAGGGCTAATAATTTTCTGCTCACCAGATGTCGCTAGTTGACATTGAGGTAACGTTTTATGTTACACAGTGTAATTTAATTGAGAAGTTGGTTTTTAATAAAAGTTTATCAGTTTCTAGAGGATTAAATTAATACACAAAACAATGCGTCAGTAGTTTGCTCTTTAATTTTTTTTTTTGCAGAATTTTACCTTTTTTTAAAATTTCTACTTTTATGAATATCTGTGGTTTGGTTTAAATATTTTTAAATTATAGCTAATAGTGCAGAAAGAAACAATAACCTTTACATTTTCCGAACAAATTAACTTCCCCGCTATGAAATCTGTCAAATATTTTATACCCCACTTTCTAGTGGCGCCGCCCTGGTGGCAGAAAAAGTCGTCGATACCCTTATTACACGTAGTAACCACGTACTTATTATATTTACGACGAGCGCCAGTTAGAGACGAACTACTACGGCTGTCAGTGCTTTTAAACACTGCCTAAATTAAAAACTTATGTTGCAATGTCCCTATGCTGTAACTTATGATTAGAATCCGTAATATTTAATCGAAAAATAGTGCCGAAATACGGCTCAGTATAATATAGTCTTGATTTAATTAAATTCCTTGTTTTTTTATTGGATAAGGGTGACAAACGAGCACACAGTCCATCTGATGGTAAGTGGTTGCTGTGGCCCATAGCGAATTAAAATGCAGATGCCTTGTCAGCCGTGAGGACTAAGATGAATGCCTCTTTTCAATAAAAAGGGTCTCCGGTTCTTTACACTCACCTTACGAAACACAGCAGCATTAAGCTGTTAATTTACGCTGGTATTCTGTGAGAGGGTGGTCCTTCCCCGGTCGAGCCGACCCATTCGTGCTACAACTATACTATTAATATAGTTGCAGCATGGCTCTACCACGCAATTTCTAGAAGTAGGAGTGACAAACGGGTACACAGTCCACCTGTCCACTATGGTCCATGGAAGATTGGAAGCCTATATTGAGGCTTCCATTGAGAATCGAAACGCAGATGCTTTGTCACTACTGACGATTGGATAGGATGCATTGTTACCAGTAACAAAGGTCTCCGCTCAAATACAGCAGTAGATTATTGTTAATTTATGATGGTATTCTGTGCAAGATTGATCCTTCCCCAATCCAGCCGAGGTATGATTGCTACAGTTATAACATACTGCAGCGTGGCTCTATCATTTATAGAATTACACTTAAGAATTAAGCCCTTAAAACTTAAAATCACTGTAAGGAATTACCTTTAAAAAGTGGACATATCTTCCATAGAGTGATAGGTCCTTGTCGATTGTATTGTCCAAGAATAAGTTCCATGTAAAACAATGGGACTGCTCCGAAAATCAGCATCAGCATATACGGAATCAAAAATGCACCTAAAAAGAACATAATTTTTTTTTGATTATTTGCCTAGGGTCTGGTTACCCTAAGGAAAATAATGACGTCTTTTGTTATTTTCTTTCTTAAAAATCTGAAATGGTAAACGAACTTCAGTCTTCATAAATGGGTACTGCAATCCACGGACATATGCAGCTAGCTAGCGATAAACTACAGTTGCGATATCACCTAAGGTAGAATTCCTCGTAGCCTGTAATTGTTTCAATACCCTTAATGACCAGAACACACTGCAGGCACTGCTTTTTGGCAGCAGAAATAGGTAAGAGATTGGCAGTCCAGACGGGCTGCTCGGCAGCTTTTTGGAGTTCCGTACCCAAAGGGTAACCAACGGGACCCTATTACTAAGCCTCCGTTGTCAGTGCGCCTGTCTGTCAACGGGCTGTATCTCATGATCCGTAATAGGTAGACAGTTGAAATTTTTAGTAGCATCTCGAAACTTTGATACTGCACCCGCTCGCCGGTCTGGGACTTTTACATTTAATATACAAGATAGTTGCACCACTGTCACCGTCTAGTGGCGGTGTAAGAATATACAGTTCCCCATATCATCCCGTGGGTGTCGTAAGAGGCGACAGGGGGAAACAAATCACGAGATGGACAGCAACGTCTTCCTTATAACGACTGAAAATAAAAAACTGCGGTTGCCAATCCGTTTGCCAAGCGTGGCAACTGTGGCAAATATACCCCCTATGAGGCAATCTTCGGGGGAGGGAAAGTTCAGCAGTGGACTTTAATAGGTTATAACGGTAACGGTTACTATAGTACCACCATCGTACATGAAATGTATATATATCTATATATATATATCAAATAAATAGCTTTTTCTATCTTCCTCTCTTTCTAGATAACGACACCTACAGGATTATGTTGTAATCAGGATCATATGGGGTGCTGTTATTCCTACGCCCACGTGATGTCCTCTAGTGGACAATCCTATCCCACTGAAAGATACTTTACTCAAAATAGCTTTCTTACCTTGATTAGTCAATATAAAAACAGCACATCATCAGGTTCATCAGCCAGTAAAAGTCAATCGAAAATTAAGTCAATCATTATTAAGAAGATTCGCCTCATTCGTCACGCAGTAAAAATTGCGTGTCACATTGTTTGTCCGCGATGGACTCCTAAACTACTAAACTGATTGCAATGAAATTTTGCACACTGTGTGCAGTTTGGTCCAACTTGAGAGATAGGATAGTTTTTATCCCGATAAGTGACCCTCAGTATTTTTTATAGCAAATTTAAGAATTTTTATAGGACACAGGGTCATCGGTGAGGGCAGAACAACGTCTGCCTGGCCAGCTAGTATATATATATATATATATATATATATATATATATATATATATCAAGCTGTCCGTTAGTCTCTCAAAAACTCGAAAATGGATTCACACTCGGACCCGTTGGGTTGTTATCGAAATCCAGAAATCACCCAAGCAAAATCGGGGCCGATCGCTACTTTTATAATATTATATAAGTATGTTCTCGTACTAACTCACCGCCTCCATTCCTATAGCATAGATAAGGGAAACGCCAAACATTGGCGAGGTCCACAGCAAACCCGATGATAGATAGGAGAAAATCTGCTCCCGTGCCCCAAGTCTCTCGCCCGTCGCTGGCGTCTGACGTAAAGAATATAATTTCAGTGCCTAAAGCATTTTCTGTGTCACTGGGTATTTGGTTATTTGGAATTCATTGTTTATATCTTATAACTTTACAATGGACGGACCTAACAACATTCTGCGCGCACATGCATTATACCCTAAACAAGTAATACACGTGCGTGCAAAAATATATTTCTCACAATTGTAAAAGATATACATTTTTTTGTAGAAAACACAGTCCACCTGATGGTAAATGGATGCTGTGACCCATAGACATCTACATTTATCCTCGATTAAGAATAAAAATGCAGATGCGTTGTCACCCCTGAGATGGAATGCCTCGTTTCAAGTAAAAAGTGTCTCCAATTCTCTACAGTCACAATAGCAAGCAGTGTTGAGCTGCTATTTCACGCTGGTATTCTGTGAGAGCGTGGTACTAACCCGGTCGAGCAGACCCAATCCTACTACAACCATAATATAGTTGCAGCATGGCTCTACCACGTTAGAAAATCATAATAATATGCTTATTATAACACTTAATGTCATTTTATTATACTTTATTAAAAAAAATATCGCATGTTTTTTTTATTATTATAGAAATTGAAGTATTAGCATTACCTAGTTACAAAATATTTACAACCCAAATAGATAAATAATAATAATAAATTAATGAGACGAGTAGTATTACTTTCAATAAAAGTGTAAATCAGAAAGTGAAAATTATAAATATAAAATGTTATATAATAATATTATCCAATAAATTGATTCATTAAAATGTGATTACCCGCTTTAATACTGTTAGCCCTAATCCTCTTCGTTGCCTCAGTGTAATAACCTTCCTCTTCAATCTGGACTTTAGGCTCTTCTGAAAACAAACACATTAATATCTCATTTTCACAAAAACGTGTATTAAATATGGAATAGAATAGAATTGAATGATTTCTTATTCAATATTGATTATTACGTAATACTTATTGAAAGTCATTATTTTATTTACCACTGGTTCGGAAAATACCTCTGTCCTGGGAAGAACCAGCAAGAAACCCAGCGGGACTTTTTTTAAACATATTTCACTTAACAATAATTATAAAAATAATAACGGAACATTAAGTATAAAAATGCATCTTATGTAGATCACAAAATATAGAAATATATATTTTTAATTTGTGTGGTAAATATTGTTATATATTATATATATTTAATTAAAAACTTCAAATGATTATTATCTTAAGCTATTAAAAACGGCTGTTTATTATTTTAGAAACTCGGAATTACATTTTTTTAGTACTATAAGCCAGTGTTTAACTACCATCTCACCTGGTGGTAAGTGGTGATGCAGCCGAAGACAGTAAAGTGTACTGACATAGTTTAGCAAAAGCCTATTAACTTAACCTAACACAGTGTGATCATTTGATTACTACGAGTTGCGTTAGCGAATGTTCGCATAGACTTTTTTGAAACATTATAAAAATTACAATATAAAGGTGTCTCGTCTTAGTTGTTAAAATCCAGAAAGTGGAGGATGTATAGCTGCTATTTAAATGTGTAGATTATTATTTAGAACCTTTGAAGCATGTTGACAATCATCATCATCATTACAACCCTTCATAAGTTCACTGCTGTACATAGACGTCATATCAAGTTCCCGCATATCTTGCGACTCCATCTACACTTCAGCTACCAGTACGAGGTTACCACTTGAGAAGATAATTTCTCGACAGAAAACCCAATAAATTTTCTTCCCCATCGGTTGTCAGTTCTTCGAGCTATATGGCTAGCCTATTGCCACTTCAGCTTACTAACCCGTTGACTATGATGACCATTACGCGATAATGTCGTCAGAAAATTCTTTAATAAGTGGTTGTTTTAAATCCATTTCAGTGTGACCCCACTGTATTAAATAGATACCATTTTATTCAATTGGTAATATCTCGTCAGTGGTACATTGTGACAACATTAGCAACTTTACGAAATAAATTTGATATTTACTGAGTGTTGCCAAATAATGTTATGTTTGTTTCATTACGAATTATCGTTTAATTTTTTTAATAAAATTAGGTAAGCAAAGGAGATCGCAGATAACCTAAGATGATGCAATCTGCAACCCATATACGCTCGACGTCAACTCTAAAAAAAAAGCAGATCACAGATGCCCAAAGGACTGATAGAATTCGTTTTAACCTGTAATAATAGTCTCTCTCACCCTTTAAATTTAAACAGTAGCAGGCATACTGCTGTTTAGCCACACATAAAGCCCTCTCCTAGATCGATACCTAAATATTTTTCCCGTAGATAAGGTATACCCGACCTCCAGAATACCATTTAAATGTATCACAATAACGTTTTAGTGTCAAAGCAAAAGTTGTACAGTGTACTAAATGGCATGCATAATCAATATAAATTGAAATAACTATTTTAAGCTATGTAACAACGTCTCGTAATGGTTTTTTGTTTATAGGAATAGGATGACAAACGAGCACACAGTCCACCTGATGGTAAGTGGTTGCTGTGACCCATAGACATCTACATTTATCCTCGTTTGCGAATCAAAATGCAGATGCGTTGTCACCCGTGAGAACTAAGTTGGAATGCCTCTTTTCTAGTAAAAAGGGTTGCTGGTTCTCTACACTCACCATTCGAAACACAGCAGTGTTAAACTGCTATTTTACGCTGGTATTCCTTGAGAGCGTTGTCCTTCCCCGGTCGAGCCGACCCATTCGTGCTACAACTATACTACTAATATAACTAACATAAATTATAAACACTCGATCCGAAGACCGAAAACAATAATACTCCAATGGTTCTAAATATGTTTATCTTGATAATAATGTAATTTTATTCAGTGAGAATAATGTATTATGACAACACTTAAATACTTACAAGGCAGAGGAATTTACATGGTTGTAGCGAAAATGTGATGTGTTACATGATATAGTGAAACTCATTTGAAGTACAAGATTAAAAATGACATTGTAAATGGTTCATACATATACCTTAAGTAGGAGGATATATTATTTCGGACATATTTTTAAACCGTACGCTTATTTTATTATAACTAATTTTTATAATATTTAACTAAGGTCTAAAATTTTATTTAGAAAGCCCAATTTTAAGTAGTTAATTCTTTGACACAGTATTTTACAAATATTGCTTTTTTTGGGCACAGAACAACAAATATTTTATGACAAACCAAAACCAAACTTAAAATTTTTTTTTTATAGAATAAGGGTGACAAACGAGCACACAGTCCACCTGATGGTAAGTGGTTGCTGTGGGCCATAGACATCTACATCTATCTTCCTTTGCGAATTAAAATGTAGATGCGTTGTTAGCCGTGAGGACTAAGATAGAATGCCTCTTTTCCTTTAAAACGGATCTCCGGTTCTCTACACTCACCATACGAAACACAGCAGCATTAAACTGCTATTTTACGCTGGTATTCTGTGAGAGCGTGGTCCTTCCCCGGTCGAGCCGACCCATTCGTGCTACAACTATACTATTAATATAGCTGCAGCATGGCTCTACCACGTTTAATTACTATTATTATACTATTATTGCGTTTAATTAATATTATTATTGATATTGCGACGTTTTACATATTCATTTATATAGAAGTTATAATGCGACGTTAATTAATTAATTATTAATTAAGTAAAATTGACATTGTAAATTGTATTATCGTATTATTTTTTGTATTGAGTATTATTATTGTAGATTCCTATTAGTCGTTATATTATTTGTAATGTACAAAATTATTATTATTTAATTATTGTAAATGGATAAATTCCTGTAATAAATAAATTAAATTAAATTAAGTTACGAGGCGAATCACACCAGGCAAACAGTTTTAGAGTACGAAACGTGGCGGATAAGCTTTAGGAAAGTCGGTTAAGGTGGTGCGAACACGCTCTACGAAACAGGTAGAGTAAATTCGGAACAGATGCCTTTGATTCCGTTTTCATAGGAGCAAGTCCAGCGGCAGACCTTAAAAGCGCTGGCATTACGTCGCAAGGTTAGATATGAGAGTCAATGGACTCACTTTCTTGATCTTTTCACTTTTTTGATCGGGCTGAGAGTAGACGAATGAGCAGGAAAGCGAACCCTAGCAGTAAGCAGTAGTAGGGATGACACATAGAAGAAAAAAGTGTTATTTTACTTATACTTACTTTTATAACACGATAAGGTGACAACGGAGCCTTTTGTTGACTTGTGATCTGAAATGCAAACACATTATTATATTTCAATAGTTCTGTATGCCTCGCACAATATTCTTATAAAAAAAATCAATTTAAGGGTTTTTGACTTTGATATCAATCATTAATCTAAGATCCATTTATCAAAGAAAACTACTTAATATGGGGATGCAAACATCAATAAACACCTGACCGAAACTGCCATTCCTCTGCGAAATACCGTTCATTCTTAAGCACGAAGCTCTTAATAACGCCCCGACGTTCGCCTTCGTATTAAAGTATAATGGGATGCCGATGCGAAAAAATTTCTCTATAATTCGCACTGAGATGCCGATTGTATTGGAATTCAAAAAATGGAAGACGCTCCAGCGCAGAATCCACTTCCCGACCCACTGGTATTCGTTATGGCTTAATCGATTCTTTGGCTTTTTATTTAAAGAGTTTTTAAAGAAACATCGAATTAAATTTACAGTTGAAACGGTCAAATAAGTAGATAATAGAGATATTAAGCCTGGCAATTACCTTACGTTCTATAATTAATAGAATCAGGCGTTACTTTGCGGAAATCCATTATATAAAAGCTTTTAGAAAAATTTACTTAGCAAATATCCGCGTTATAAAATAAAATGAAATGAAGAGCACCTCCCGCCCTCCCTCGATTGCGTGCACTATCCCCGTCACCACTAATCCCAGCACCGCTACTCCCAACACCACTACACACGCTAAGTGACTAGCGTGTAGAGGCGAAACATGTGTCGTATTATCGTCAGTGGTGTGTCTTGCCTAGTGTAGTGGTGTTGGGAGTAGCGGTGCTGGGATTAGTGGTGACGGGGATAGTGCACGCAATTGAGGGAGGGCGGGAGGTGCTCTTCATATCATTTTATTTTATAACGCGGATATTTGCGAAGTAAATTTTTCTAAAAGCTTTTATACCTCAGGTTCTCTACACTCATCATAAGTAACACAGTAGTATTAAGCTGCTATTTTACGCTGATATTCTGTGAGATCGTGGTCCTCCCCGGTCGAGCCGACGCAATCGTACTGCGTGTACAAACATAATATAGCTGCAGCGCGGCTCTACCACGTATGTGGTAAATAAGTACTTAAAATTGCAATTAACAATGTCATTGGTACCAGCGGGGATAGTACCCAGGTTTTTAATGTACTGAAAATTTTTGGGCGAACGCTTAGTCACTGAGCCGCCACGGCTTGGTTCTTCATTAAGCAAAAATAATTCGGGTAGAGTAGTATCACAGGTAGTATGCCGTAAAATTTAAATATTATAATTAATTTCACTAAATTTAGTAATATTAATTTTGATATGATGTAATTGTTTTTACGTGGTAGAGCCATGCTGCAGCTATATTAGTAGTATAGTTGTAGCACAAATGGGTCGGCTCGACCGGGTAAGGACCACGCTCTCACAGAATACCAGCGTAAAATAGCAGCTTAACACTGCTGTGTTTCTTATGGTGAGTGTAGAGAACCGGAGACCCTTTTTACTGGATAAGAGGCATTCCATCTTAGTCCTCATGGGTGACAACGCATGTGCATTTTGATTCGCAAACGAGGATAAATGTAGATGTCTATGGGCCATGGAAACCACTTACCATCAGGTGGACTGTGTGCTCGTTTGTCACCCTATCCTATAAAAAAAAGTACATATAAAAAGGAACCAAAAGATAGTTTAAGAAATGAGTAAAGTGATATAATAGTTTAAGATAATATGTCCGACTAACATTATTGCTTGCGGGAAAATTTTAGTACATTAATTTAAAGTATTTTTACAAGTCTCGTGTAGTAGCGGCATATAGAATCTATAATATAGGAATATGAAATGCCCTATATCACCCCGTGAGTGGCGCAAAGGGCACCAAAAGGAAACATAAACCGTAACATAATAATAAACCGTAGCAACTATCTTAATTTTTTAATTCAAAATACTAAAATGCTGAGATTTTCAAGCGAGGCAATTATGCCAAATATTAAATGACTAGCGACTTCGTCCACGCTACTTACACACATCACTGAACACGTAGTAAAATCGTTGTTTCTTAAAACTTTAATAACTTTATATTAAATGAAGATATCGCAATAATTTTTTAGATAAGGGCCAAATGTCTAAGACATAAAACTTAGAAAACCTAATTGAAATCTATCCAGTAGTTTTTCCGTGATGCGCGCACAACAGCAAAATCATTTTATTTACATAGAGAAGATGATGATGATAATGACTTATTAATGTTATTCTTTACCATATCCATTCATTATTATATCAGTTTTGTTATTATATCTATCTCTATTTCGATTATGGCAATTTTTTATATAATACTAGCGATCCGCTCCGGCTTCGCACGGGTGATTTCTGGATCTCGACATCACCACCTACCGAGTTCAACTGTGAATCTAAACCATTCAGGGGCCCACTGAAACACACACAAATGGCCAATTAACCTGCCGTATATGATTATACTAGCTGTAATCCATTATACTTCTTATTCACAGTAGAATAGGAAATTAAAATTCATTCATAAAGACAATAGCGTACGAGAGTCATAGTTTTTCATTTAAAATTCAATTTTATGTAAATGCCCTTCCGGCCACCTAACGTTGAATGCATTGAATTCTCATTACATTTCATCTACGTTTTAATTTTAAGGCTATGCACAGCACAAAATCAAAATGTAAGAACTTCGCTTTAGAAATAGTTTTAGAAATGCTGAAATTGATAAACTGTTAATGGTATGAAGAACACAAGATTATTTTAAAGATCATGAAGAAGGTTTAATTTTAATAATAATAGTGCTTGTCTCAACAGATGACAGTGTCCAAGTGAATACGTAAGCACAGGTGCACTCTTTATTCTCTCACTCCTATAGTCCGATGGGACGATTATCAGACACGACCGGAGAGAGATCAGGTGAAGCATCACCTGCTTAACGTGCTTTCCAAGACACGGGAATAAAACACCGGGCAATTTCCTGACTCCAGACTGCTACTGAGAAATTCTTGACAGAAAACTCAGTAACAGGTTTTGGCATGACCTGGGAGTCGAACCCGAGATCTCATGATCAGTAACCGCGTTTACGACCACTAGACCAATAAATCAGTCAAGGCTTAATATTATTATTTATACAAGTTGTAGCCAAAAAGTTGTTTTGTTTGGTATAATACAAGTGGTAGCCAACAGGTTGTTTTGTTTGGTTTTATACAAGTTGTAGCCAAGAAGTTGTTTTGTTTGGTTTTATACAAGTTATAGCCAACAAGTTATTTTGTTTGATTTTATACAAGTTGAAGCCAACAAGTTTTTTGTTTGGCCGGACTTTAGGAATGATTTTTGCGAATGCTTATGACGAAAAAAAAATTAATATTTGTCTATACATTTTCTTTGCGTTCATATGAAATCCATCTTATTACAATAAAAAAGTAGTGAGTCGTTCACAACGCTTGCGAATGTAATTAGGCACTGCAACGTACACTGGGCAAAGTTTGATTTTATTTATGTAAAAGTGAAAAACGAGCACACAGTCTACCTGATACTGAGTGAATGCTATGGCTCATAAAGTATAGACAACTCCATTTATTTTCAATTAAGTATCAAGACAAGGCGTTCAATTGAGGATCAAATCAAGAGCATGCAAAAGGCGTTGTCCTAAGGACAATGATGAAATGCCCCTTTACTGCACGTTATTTACTATAAACAAACACCAAGTATATATAGGAGGCTTTAGAAGTATCATCATCTTTATCATTAGAGCCCTTCACAATTCCACTGCTAAACAAAGGTCTCCCTTAAGGAATATGATAAAAAGGTAATGTAAGTTGATACGCACTAGAGTCATGCTGCAGCTATATTCGTATGATGGTTGTAGAACGTCATTGCATGGCTCGATTAGGGAAGAACCACGCTCTTATAGAATAGCAGTTAAATGCTGCTGTCTTTTTCTATTAAAATACTAAAAATCTACAGCATACATATTTAATGTGAAAAAATTCAAATTTATTTATTTTCTTAGACACTACTTAAATTCAACAGGCAACGAAGATAAAAATTTGATGAAAGTATTAAAATTTTACATTTAGGTGAAAAGTAAAATAATAGGAAAGCGAAAGCGTATTCGAGCAATAAAGTAGTTTTGTAGGACTCTCTACTATCCCGAGGAGCCTTATTGCCTCTTGACTTGTTTTGTTTCTTCTGATTGTTTATGTTGTTATCCGTTTACATTTAAATTATTGACCTTTTGTTAAAATGTTTTCAATAATCTTAAATATATTTTCATTAAATGAATGAATAAATTATTGTATGGAGGCATTTTGAGTAGAATAGAATAGAATAGAATAGAATGATTTTTATTCAATATGGATTATTACATAATACTAATTGAAAGTCATTATTTTATTTACCACTGGTTCGGAAAATACCTCTGTCCTGGGAAGAACCAGCAAGAAACCCAGCGGGACTTTTTTTAAAACATAATTTCACTTAACAATAATTTTGTTTATACAATTTTAAATGAATTTTCATAGAACCAGCATGGTGGCGATCACCTTATTCCCAGGGGTTATTTTCATTCATGTATTCCTTGATATTATAATAACCCTTTTTGTACAGTTTTTCTTTAATAAAACTTTTAAACTTGTTTATTGACAAACTTTGAACATGTTCTGGGATTTTGTTGTAAAAGCGTATACATTGCCCCATAAATGAATTACTAATTCTGTGGAGTCTAGTAAGTGGCATTACAAGCTTATGTTTGTTCCTAGTGTTTAAGGTATGAACATCCTAATTCTTATTAAAGCTATTTATGTTTTTATGTACATAAATTACATTTTCATAAATATTTTGCGATGCCAAAGTTAATATGTTTATTTCTTTAAATTTTTCTCTGAGGGACTCTTTACAATTTAGAACCTAATATCGTCATCATTATCATTCCCTTCACAATTCCAATGCTGAACATAGGCCTCCCCCAAGGAATGACACAAAACACAGTTCTGAATCACCTGCGTTCATAATTTCTTAATCTTACATATCTTACCAGGGCGTCCCTCTAACTAGTGGAGGGACGCCCTACAATTACAATGCTGACCGGTACGAGGCTGTCCTCGTAAACCCCCAATCGGTTCGGTCAGTTACAAGTTGCGGCACGTAAGTCTAGCGCTGAACGAAACGTGGAGGGGACGCGTACGAATTGATTTGCACGAATGCGACTGGAGAGCCAACCAGTGTGTGCGAACGATACACACGAGACAATGAGCGCGACTTAAGCGTAATGAGCCAATCAACGCGACTAATGCGCAATAACGGTCACCGCTAGAATTTTGTACCGCTATTTAAATTTGTGTTAATTGACCGGCCTTTGTAAGTATAAGTGAATCTATACTGAAGTTATTTTTTTCATAGGAGTCGTAAAATATGAAACAAAAATATAGAGCCTTATTCCTCACATTCAATATGTTTTCGTCATTTTAATGATCTATTAATATACATTACAACCATTTCCTTATCTTGTATCTACGTATAAAGTTGTAACTATTGAACAAAAAATATTTAATTAAGAAAACCTTCCCGCTAATTGTCTGCTATTTTTACTATCTATAAAAATATTTTTTACGTTTTTAAGTTTTTAACACATTCGTTCTAACAACGTTACAGAACGTCCAATCTGATGTCTTCGCGATGACGCACATAGTCTAATCACGTCCTAAGAACATTTTAATTTCTAAGCACAACGGCTGGCAACGTCAAATCTCTGTATAATCTTTTCAACTTTTCAAACAACCTCATTGCGTCGCATCGTGTCAAATTTTCAAAGTTCTTGCGCTACAATACATTAGTTTTTTTCTTTGGCGGCTCTTCACTTTGGTCAACATAGTGGCGAATGTGTTGGCAGAGATATTGGCCAAGAATTTGTGATCGCGTCCACACGTTGGAAGGTCGTTCAGTTTGCTTCGGTTAAGGCCAATGTGCGGACGAATTTATTAAAATGATTATTGATGCGCTAACAGCTGCTGCGGTTTATTTATTCACAGCATACCACTTCAACGTGAATGTGTATAAGAAAAGGTTGATCAAAAGAAATGGAAAAAATGAAATTTTATTTCATGACAGCTCCGTGGCGTAGTGCCTTAACAATGAGTTGCTGCGCTGGGGGCCGCGGGTTCGAATCCCGCACGGAACAAGTATTTGTATGGCCTGCAAATAATTGCTCCGGGTCTGGATGTTTGTCCTTATGCAATTTATGTTTGTAAACTGCCTCCACGACATAGGAGAAAATCCTACTGGGGGGTTAACGTTTACTTGAAAGACTTGTGTTTCACAAACAATTTTCCTCTATAAAGCGAAAAGTTTTTCCATTGGTCATTGTTACTGCCATTACGTAGACACTAGTTACGATGCGTGCATATAAAATTTAAATCAGGTGCGTGCGATCCATGTTCTGTGGTGCGATCACTCTGGGAGCTCGTAGCAAACTGAACGTGCGCCCAACGTGTGGACGCGGCGGCCAATACTCTTCCACAACCCTTTGATCTTTTGTAAAAAACCGACACCACACGGATCTCGCGCCAACTTGTGGGCCATCATTCCAATATATACCAACGTAAGAATTAACACCCGCTCTATACGATGGCCATCATTATTGGCCAACACATTCGCCAGTACGTTGGCCAACGTGAAGAGCCGCCTTTAAAGGAATATACCAGTGCGTCCTTGAACGTGAACGCTTACTATTTACGTTACCGACAAGACATATGCAATATTTTGTTTGTGATACGGCGATACGAGTATGGACGTCCTCAAACTTTGTATGGAGTAATCATGCGCCACGGCCTATAAGTTGACTATTATGGTATGCGTACATGAACGTGTTAAATATGATTTTTTTTATTGCCTTTAATATAATATAACATCCATCTTTTTTTGTTTTAGTTTATTATTTATTACAAATATACGGCCTCGTTGATCTAGTGGTTGTAAAGGCGATTTCTGATCATGAGCTCCCGGGTTCAAATTCCGGGGCATGCCAAAATCTGTATTGGGTTTTTCAGTCAAGAAATTCTCAGTAGCAACCCGGAGTCAGGAATTTGGCGGTGTTTCGGACTATGAGAGTGAAGAATTGAGACTGCACATGTGCTTGCGTATACAGTCGTGCACTGTAATCCTATCCTACGCAGATGGTTCGTCGCTGTTGAGACTGGCTGCCGTGCCCGAAATTGGCCTGGCGAACAATATTAATATATTATCTTATGAAATTTTATTACATTTGTATCTACCTCCCTTTGCGTACTAACCAAAAGCTCTTGGAGTGCTGCCGGCGGAGCAGTATCCATCATCGCGAACTGTGCTCCTTCCCCCGGGAGTGCTGGTGTTGCGGCTGAGTAAAGCGGGGCTGGCCCGCTGTTCCTCATATGAGGGTGCAGTGTGGGTTATTACCCCGCCGCTGCTAAGTGATGCCTGTAGAAGTATGATGAATTAGTATGCCTACTATTAGCAAAACATTTTCGTGCAAATTTTCTCTTTGATCAAAAGCTTTCTTCGAGGTGTAAGCCGCAATTAGTTGAATTAGCATATAAGTTATACGTATAAAATATGGAAATAATAAATTCACACAAAAAATCGCAATTGCCTTTTTAAATATCTAATAATCATCATTTATCTACATCTACATTGGGTCTACTGGAAGATATTTCAGTAAATTATGGAATAAGTATAACCTTTGTACGGCCTCATTATATGACTGTTTCTGTGTCTAGTTGTATGTACATAAATAAATCGAAAAAATAAAATAAAGACTATAATAAAAGTTAAAAAGGTCCGGCTTTTTCGAAAACACTTATTTTCCCATATTTTTATAGAATAGAATAGAATGGAATAATTTTTATTCAATATAGATCACATGTAATTCTTATTGAAAGTAATTATTTACTTTACCATTGGTTTGGAAAAAAACCTCTGTCCTGAGAAGAACCAGCAAGAAATCCAGCGGAACTATAAACCATGTATTCATTTACTTCATAATAACCCTTATTATATAGTTTATATTTAATAAAATTTTAAACTTTGTAATAAAGAGAACTTATTTTTGAGACTTTGTTGTAATAGCCCATACATTGCCCCAAGAATGAATTATTGACTCTGTGGAGTCACTATTACTTATTGTGTGGTGGAGTCGAGAAACTGGTATCACAAGTATACGTTGCGGACTTACCGACAAGTTGAGAAGAAGATCTAAATCTTTTAAATAAAACTAATTTTACGGATTTTATCGCGTATATTAACTTATTTTACATTCCCGACGTTTCAAGCACGTTACAGCACCCAATTTTTAATCTGGAGGTAGCCGTGGTTAACTATTACATTGGGACGTCATACACCTCAATCCCCCCCGTGACCATGGGTGCTGTAAAGTGCTTGAAACGTCGGGAATGTAAAATAAGTTAATATACGCGATAAAATCCGTAAAATTAGTTTTATTTAAATGTTTAGTGTTCGCGTAAATATAAGAAATCATTAAGATCTAAATCTGTTTTGGGAATATATATCTTTGGCAAATGTCCAGCGATGAAATGGCTGGAGTGGCTGCCAGTTGATGATGATGATATCTACTATTTACATAAGTCCAAAACAGTTCACGGCCGATTATGGGCATTTCAACACATTTCATCTTTAACTATATCTTCATGCATCCGTGTCTATGCGTGACCACATACCTCTACATAAGCTGTGGGTTTATTTATTATCCATCATCATCATCTTCGCTTCACCACGTGTCTATTATAAAGCATAAGCCTACCTCATACATTGAGAAAATACTATCCTGACCTACATTCATCGTCACGCATCTGTTCCCGAGGGAAGTTGTCATAAGTTGCTTTTGTCGATACGAAAGTACCACTGGTGAAGTTTTCTTACTTAGAGCTTATTTTTAATCTACGCCTAATATTACATTTTAACAGCTGTTCTCTTGTTAACAATTGAAATAAAAATATAATTTTCTTATAATCACTCGAATACGGCATTGAGAATACATTTTGTTTTATGCAATCTAAGAAATAATTAATTAGATAATAAAAATTAAAGGATATTAAAGATTACAAACCATAGTCGGCACTTTATTATTTTCCAGGTAGTCCCTTTCATAACTGCTGGGGCGCGACCTGGTAGCCAATGCGCTGCTTAATTCTGATCGATGGCAGCATACATCGACTTCATGTTCCTAAAAGACATTGTGACCAGTTAAAAATAGATTTTCATTACTTTTTATATTTCGGAAGGTAAACTAGGGTTGACTATTATTTTCCACGGTATCGTGGAGGCATTTTACAAACATAAATTGCATGAACAAACAACCAGTCACGTAACAATTATATAACATCTATATGCTAATTATTGTTTAACGCGGGTTTCCAACTGCGGCTCCGCAGTGCCGCAGCCAAACGCTTAGCCAATGCCCTACCGAGTCGTCATTTTAAAAACAATTTTACATATTTTGACTTTTGATATACGGCTAGTCATATTATCGTATAAGTGCAATATGGTTACGATAGAGGCATTTTAAGAACACAAAATTGCTTGTACTTGACGTGTCGACAGTAAGGCACTACTTGAGTAAAGCTTTGCGTTATTAGGCGTGCAATAACGGTTGCTAGATCAGAAAGTCAAAATACGTAAAACTGTTTTTAAAATGACGACTCGGCAGCGCATTGGCTAAGCGTTTGGCTGCGGCACTGCGGGACCGCAGTTGGAAACCAGCCCGGAATGAGAGTTAGCATATAGAAGTTATATAATTGTTACATGACTGGTTGTTTCTTCATGCAATTTATGTTTATAAAACGCCGCCACGATACCGTAGAAAATAATAGTCAGGGGGTTATATTTAAAAAAAAAAAAGGGAAAATGTCAGGATTTAGGGTTGTTGTTGATAAATTTTTGAACTAAAGTTTCGGTTTTTATTTTTAAATTTAAACTCACTACATACCTATACCACACATACCATACGCACATATAATACTAAATATTATTGATTGTTAACCGTATTGAGATTGAGAACTCCATGAATTAAATTTTTAAGCAACACATATTTTGCGTTTGCTTTCACTGTTTTTATTACTTGGAGCTTTGAGAAAAGTTTTAAATTGTGACGTACACATCCCGGCCGGCTCACCTTACAGTAATAAGGTTTTGAGGGGAGTTTCGAGTTTCGTATTTTATTAGAAATCAAGTCAAGTATACATATACAATTTCGAAAGAATCTAGACATATCCTGACGAATCTGGTTAAAAGGGGTTCTTAAATTTTAAAATAAAATATTAAAAAAAAAAAACAACGAAATACTTTCCTTTTTTGTAATATTAAAATAAGTTTGTGCAGGTGTGTAACTGGTCGTTTTTACCTATAAATTAACTTCTGAACCTAAAATGCTTGACTTATTACCTTTATTATTAGAAAGTTGTATAGGTATTCCATTATTTCCAGATAAACGTTATAATATCAAATAAATTAAAAATTTAGAGCCGGGCTGTATGAGTCTCTGAGAAATTAAGAAACAGTGAAGAGTGAAAGAGTTAAGTTCCTAGAGTGATGGCCGCTTTATTCAAGAAGGTTGTTTCTTTACTCCCTCAAAAGGAAAAACAGGTAGCTGTTAGTATGGCTTTTTGAATTTAAATTATCACTATACATAAATATTATTGAATTTTGCCAAAATAAAAAGCATCTTAGTAGATTGTCCATTACATACTAACAAAAATAATTTTAATTCCATACTTCGAAATGTAAAGCAAGTAAATTTTAATTTATACATTAATTACCTGTCCACGATGCGGCGATGAATCGCGACGGGAGCCGCTACTGGAGGACCTGTTGCTTGCGTCTGCAATAAACAAGTATAGTCAGTTGCATGTTTAATGATGACATTATTCTGTTTTGAGCTGTGCTACAGATACGTGTTATAATAATTATAATCTCCTGGATAATATCGACCATGGTGACTGTATCCGCATGTTGGGTATAAGTTTCTTGATCCGAATACTAATGACAGCCATTAACTATGGAAGAGATTTTTGGTATCGGACGTGAGGCACCATTTTATGACTCAAACCATCACTAAATACGATATTTGGATTATTTGGTGAGAAATTATCACTAGCGTCAGTATCATAAATTCGTAGTTGAACACGTTCGGACTGATTATGATGTCGTTTAGCTTATTTCGAATTATGCATTTGTGTGGCACGGTTTTATACATGTTAGAACCACACTGCGGCTATATTATGGTTACAGCACCAATGGTTCGGTTCGACCGAGGAAGAACCACGCTTTCACAGAATACCAGCGTAAAATAGCAGCTCAATGCTACTGTGTTTCGTATGGTGAGTGTAGAGAGCCGCAGATCCCTTTTTACTGTAAACGACTCATTCCATTTTAGAACTCAGGGTGACAACGCATCTGTATTTTTAAATGTAGATGTTTATGAGCCACTGCTTTCATATACTATTAGGTGGACTGTGAGCTCGTTTGAGTTATTCTATAAAAAAAAAACATCCGTGAGTGTCGCGGAACACTCGGTTGGAACGAAGTCCCTTTCGTAGTATATTATTATTGATAAATGTATTGTATTATTGACAAATACAAATAAATGAATTACTAGTGTCTATTCATATGAAGCGTCATTTAAAATAATATTTATTTCATGGCAAGATAAGAAAAAGTACGAGGGAGATGGATATTATTCCAAGTCGCTCGCACTATAGAAAGGGGGTCGTGACGGGAAAGTCTTACACTTTTCCTCGCGTACCGTTCGATAGGGAACTTCGTTCCAATAAAAAAAAAATACGAGAACGGAGTTATTACTAATATTAATAGTATGGTATATAGGTAGAGGCATCTGCGTAACTTCAGATACAGGTCAAGGTCACAAATTGTGCAGAAACAAGGTGAATTGTTGGTTTCTGTGATTGCTGCATTGCGTTAACAAAGTTTTGGAGGCCTTAGCTTTCTGATAGTACTTAAAAGAAAATACATTGTTTGAAATCGGCTCAAATAGATTAATAGCATTATTTCTATTTAAATAAAAATAACTCAGAACTAACTCAGAAGTCCGTTTGGGTAGGTATAGTTATTATATTTGACGCTGAAGTTTTGTTATTGTAGCCGTGCACATACACATTGTGTTACGTGTGCGTAGGCAATGGGCGCTCGGGAGTAGCGCTCAGAGGCCTACGCACACTAACACAATGTGTATGTGCACAGCTAACACAACCAAAGTCAAAACTTCATCGTCAAATAGAATAACTATACGACTCTCTTATTTATTTTTGCCGCCAAACAGCAGTGCATGAATTATGTGATCCGGTCTTAAGGGCGCCAAGTGCGAGAGGCAGTTTAGTTACAGATGACAACACTTATACATTTATATTTTTTTTATAGGATCGGGTGACAAACGATCACACAGTCCACCTGATGGTAAGTGGTTACTGTGACCCATAGACATCTATATCTATCTCGATAAAAACTCAAGATGCAGATGCGTTGTCACCCGTGAGGACTAAGATGGAATGCCTCTTTGCCAGTAAAAAGGGTCTCCGGTTCTCTACATTCATCATACGAAACACAGCAGCGTTAAGCTGCTAGTTTACGATGGTTTTCTGTGAGAGCGTGGTCCTTCCCCGGTCGAGCCGACCCATTCGTGCTACAACCATAATATAGCTGCAGCATGGCTCTACCACGTAGTATATATGCTTTTTCGTTTTAAGTTGATTGCAGATGTCCATGCCCGATTGACTGCTGCAATAGTCAATCACGATCAGGTGGACTGTAAATTCGTTGGTCACTTCAGTTTTATAAAAAAACTCGTCGGGAAATTAAAAAGTTAAAATTAAACGCGATAATATTCGTAAAATTAAGTTTATTCCGTGTATAATATTCGCGTAAATATAAGAAAAAGAAATCATTATAATTTTTTTCAAATATTTGAAATACATAGTAATATGAACAGCAGAAAACAAAGGGTATCAAAACAATGGAAAGTATGTTTGACATTGAAAATAAAATTTTTCACTATTTCCAGTGAAAGCAACATAATACGATATACACGTGCCACACAAATAAAAGCAATTTGCGCGAATTAATTCATAAAACTATTTGCTTTATTATATTAAAAAATTGTGACATGAAATCATTCGGTGGAATAAGTTCGGAGAATATTTTCATTTATGTTGTTATGTTAACAAAAAAAAAAATGAGAACTTAATTTATATCCTATTTCTTTTAATCAAGGTTATTAACTTTATAAATTCAAATTGGATGGTTTTGTAATAATAAATGTCCTCCAGACCGCATTGCGGTGATGGCGGCCAGTCTCGATGGAGAATAGCCATATGAGCAGGACAGGATTATAGTGACCAAGTATATGCACAAGCAAAGGTGCACTCTCTATTCTCTCACTCTTATAGTCGGATGGGACGGTAATTCGAAATGACCGGAGGAAGATCAGGCACAGGACCAACGGCTTTACGGGCTTTTCGAGGCACGGGGGTGAGACATCGCCAACTTCCTGACTCCGGGCTGTAACTGAGAACTTCATGACAGAAAAGCATAATAACTAATTTAATGTGTGTCTGTCTGTTCGGGCTATCGTTGGTATAGCTGAACTGATTGTAATGAAACTTGACGAATATCTAGACTATATTTTATCTAACAAACTTAGTCTTTGACGATTATCTGCAATCTATACGTGGTATATCTATTATATATGTATCTATTATATTGTATTTATACATGGTAGAGCCATGCTGCAGCTATTTTGGTAGTATAGTTGTAGCACGAATGGGTCGGCTCGACCGGGGAAGGACCACGCTATTACTGAATACAAGCGTAAAATAAGTTTCGTATTAGGGAGTGTAGAGAACCGGAAACCCTTTTTACTGAAAATGAGGCATTCCATCTTAGTCCTCACGGGTGACAACGCATCTGCATTTTGATACTTTATTGAGGATAGATGTAGATGTCTATGGGTCACAGCAACCACTTACCATCAGGTGAACTGTGTGCTCGTTTGTTACCCTATCCTATAAAAAAAATTAAACGATGCCAGATTAATAGATCCAACTTATGCGAAGCCGGGGCGAGTCTCTCGTCTTTATATATAAAAATTACGTGTCACGTTGTTTGTCCGCGATGAACTCCTAAACTACTAAACCGATTGCAATGAAATTTTGCACACGGTGTGCAGTCTGGTCCAACTTGAGAGATAGGACAGTTTTTATCCCTATAAGTGACCCTCAATATTTTTTATTACGAATTTAAGAATGTTTATAGGACACAGGGTCGTCCGAGAGGGCATAACAACGTCTGCCTGGTCAGCTAGTATATAATAATAATACTAGGTGGTAGTATTCCTCTTCTACCCAGAAGTCCGTCTGTATAGGTTTACTTACTTGTAAGGTAAGGTAAGGTAAGTAAGACAATATAGTTTACAGGCTGTGAGGCATTCCTCAGATATTACAACGCACCCTTCTTTGTTTCTCTGTTACTAGTCTCCTTTGCTTGAAGATCTCCATGGACTGCAACCACTTATTATCTGATGGACTTTTTTTTATAGAATAAGGGTGACAAATGAGCACATAGTCTACCTAATGGTTACTGGACGTTGTCATCATAGACACCATAGACATCAATCCGTTAAGAATCAAAATGCAGATGCGTTGTCACCTCAGGACTGAGGGCTAAGAAGGAATATGTCTCGTTTCCAGTAAAAAGGGTCTCTGGTTCTCTACACTCACCATACAACACAGCAGCATTTAACTGTTATTTTACGCTGGTATTCCTTTGGTGCGTGGTCTGGCTTTCCCACGCATATAATAAATAGGTAGTAAGTTAGTTTGTCACTTTAATTTTATAGAAAAACATAATCGAAATATGTCGCTATGATCAATACAAGCTGGGGGAACGTCACAGTTGTATTAAAATACGAGCAGAATTCCTCACCACGGCTGGTGTCCCGCAGTTCTCCGGCGCCGACGCTGTTGCCCAACACCGGCATGCCCGCCATGCCGCTCGCTACGCTAGACGCTTCTTCATTATGCCACAACTGCAACAATATATTTTTAAATGTTAATAATATTACAATATTACTATTAACATAACAAGAGGGCTGGTTCTTTTCTACCGATTTAAAAAAGGAGACGGTACTCAATTCGACTGTATGTTTTTATATGTGTGTTACCTCATAACTTTTTACTAGCTGAACCAATTTCGATGATGATTCTTTTTTTTATTTGAAAGCTGATACTTCACATGTAGTCCCATATAAATTTGATCAAGATTTGACCAATATTTTTTCATTTAATCTTCATCATCATCATTACAGCCCTTCACAAGTCCACTGCTGAACATAGGCCTCCCCCAAAGAATGCCACAAAGCACGGTCCTGAGCCACCTGCATCCATCGACTTCCTGCATGTCTTACCAGGTCGTCACTCCATCTCGTGGGGGGACGCCCTTTTTTTTATAGGAGAGGGGGCAAACGAGCATGCGGCTCACCTGATGGTAAGTGACTACCGCCGCCCATGAACAACCGCAACACCAGGGGAATTGTAGATGCGTTACACGATGCGTTGCAGTGCGCCCTACACTTCGCCTACCGGTACGAGAAACTCCGAGCATAGCCCTCTCCATAGCTCGCTGAGCGACCTTGAGCTTCCTCATACGGCCAGCAGTGAAGTACCACGTCTCAGTTCCGTAAGTCATCACTGGCAACACGCACTGGTTGTACAATTTCGTTTTAAGGTTTTGAGGTATGTCTGACGAGAAGATGTGTCGTAGCTTCCCGAACGCTGCCCAGCCGAGTTGAATACGTCGATTGACCTCTCGGTCGAAGTTGGACTTACCTAGTCGGACTATTTGTCCCAGGTAAACATACTCGTCAACAACTTCGAGCTTAGTGCTCCCAACAACTACCGGCATAGGTTTGACATGGACATTAAACATGATCTTTGTTTTGTCCATGTTTATCTTAAGACCTATCCGTTGGGAAACACTATTGAGGTCATTAAGCATAGTGCTTAGGTCCTCCAACGATTCTGCCATAAGGACTATATCGTCGGCAAATCGAAGGTGAGTGATGTATTCGCCATTGATGTTGATACCGTATCCTTTCCAGTCCAGAAGCTTGAAAACGTCTTCCAATGCAGCGGTGAAGAGTTTCGGGGATATGACGTCACCCTGTCTTACACCTCTCTGCAATTGGATAGGTTTCGTACTCTGGTTCTGTACTCGGATAGCCATCGTAGCCCTACTGTACAAGCACTTCAACACTTCGATATACCGACAGTCAACTTGGCACCGCTGAAGGGACTGCAGCACCGCTCAAATTTCGACGGAATCAAAGGCTTTCTCATAGTCCACATACGCCAGACATAGTGGCAAATTGTACTCTTCGGACTTCTGTACAACTTGCCGAAGGGTATGTATGTGGTCTATGGTGCTAAAGCCCTTTCGGAAACCGGCTTGTTCGGGAGGCTGGAAGTCGTCAAGTCTGCGCGCGAGACGATTCGTAATGACTCTCGAAAACAGCACATTCATTTAATCTTAATAATTTATATTGAAGTCGGTTGTACAACATTTTTAATTTTAAATTATTGGCTAAACTTTTTGGCTTATCAACTTATCATAGCTATTCAACAAGGAAACGCAGCCAACCTCCTTAGGACTTTACCTCGTAGAGAAAAACTTTAATTTAGTTTAAGTTTTTATTATTTTTAATATTTTCTACCGACTTCAAAAAGGAGTCGGTACTCAATTCGACTCTATGTTTTTTATGTGTGTTACCTCATAACTTTTTACTGGGTGAACCGATTTCGATGATTCTTTTTTATTTGAAAGCTGATACTTCACATATGGTCCCATATAAATTTAATCAAGATTTGACCAATAGTTTTTCAGTTAATCTTAATAATTTATATTGAAGTCGGTTGTACAACATTTTTAATTTTAAATTATTGGCTATACTTTTTGGCTTATCAACTTATCATAGCTATTCAACTAGGAAACGCAGCCAACCTCCTTAGCACTTTGCCTCGTGGAGAAAAACTTTAATTTAGTTTAAGTTTTTATTATTTTTAATATTTTCTACCGACTTCAAAAAGGAGCCGGTACTCAAATCGACTGTATTTTTTTATGTGTTTTACCTCACAACTTTTTACTGGATGAACCGATTTCGATGATTCTTTTTTTATTTGAAATATGGTGGTCCTATATAAATTTGATCAAGGTCTGACTAATAGTTTTTGAGTTATTCTTAATAATTTATATTGTACAAAATTTTTAATTTTAAATTATATGTATATCGGTAAAGCCACACTACACCGAAATATGGATACAGCAGAAAAGTAGCAAAGGAATGAAATAATTTTCGAGCATCCGTCTTTCCGTCCTATCATAAAGTTGGTGTTTTCAAGACAAAAAAAGGTTAAGCTAAAAAAGATCAACCTGAACACAGATAGATTGAGTCCCTTTGTCAATTTTTATTTAAAAAGAATAATACATTAGACCTAAAGAATATCTCCTATTTTCGTAAGATTAAATATAAACAGTAAGAATTTAAATTATTAAATTTAAAACCCCAAGAGTATACGAATGTCATAATTGTGTCAACACAACATATACGCAGGTAAAACGGTATACGGAAAATCATATCTTTTTATGGGCAATACAGATGAAACTTGAGACGTGATGATTCACTTTATTGTTAGATATAAGATCGGTGAAATAAAATAACATATAATGCTATAAAAGTATCAGATATTTATCACCATCATCATCATCATTAGCAGCAGCAGTAACTTTTGAAATCCATTATTGGAAAGACTTTCCGAGAATGCCTATAGCTATATTACTTGAAAGATTCACCCATATTCACCATGCTGTGAGTAGGATGTTTGTCCTTGTGCAATTTATGTTTGTAAACTGCCTCCACGACACAGGGGAAAATCCTAGTGTTCTATAATCCTAACGTTACCCCCGTTTTTAAAAAAAAGGAAAAAAAAGGTAGGTAATTGAAGAGCGTAAAGTCGATACTTTCGCTCTCATAAAGCTAGTTTTATCAACAGTCTGTGAAATTCGATTTTGGCATTTCGAAATACTGCTATTCGCTGGTCTTCAGAGTCTCCCACTTTGGTCGGAAGGGTACATCGCATGCAAGTGAGGTTGGCATTTGGAGAAGTTATCAGTTACATGAAATGAAATAAAAAGTCTGAATACAACCATGGAAGTACCTATTCTTAGTACATAATTATATAAAACCCGCCAAAGTTAACTAACTACCCTCGCGATCGCCACCTCAGTACCAGAGTTTGTCAACAAATTCGAAATTGATCCCACGCGTTTGCTTATGATTTTGATTTTTGTTAGCCGACTTCAACAAAAACTTTATTGAAACTGAGAGCCTTCTCTCAATTCTACAGTATACTCTTTTTTATATGTATGTTACGCGATTTTCGTCAAATGTGAACCGACTTTAATGACTTTTAAAAGGTATTATATACTGCAGGGTTGGTTCTGTATACATTTGGAGAAAATATTTGACCCCTATGGGTTCTTGTACTATTATTTATTCTGTGCTAAGGGTGAGAAATGGGGATGAAGATTTTTATTTTAGATAATAAGAGTGACAAGCGAGCACACAGTCCACCTAATGGTAAGTGGATGCTATAGCTCATAGACATCTATCTGAGGACTAAGATGGAATGCCTCATTTCCAGTAACAAGGGCTCCGGTTCTCTACACTCACCATACGAAACACAGCAGCATTAAGCTGCTATTATACGCTGGTAATCTGTGAGAGTGTAGTCCTTGCCTGGTCGAGCCGACAAATTCGTGCTACAACCATAATATAGCTGCAGTGTGGCTCTACAACGTATACAAATTAAATTTTTTAATGTAATGTTCTATTTAGAAGACATTTTAGTTATTTGTTACCTACAGCTTGTAATATTCCTAAGTCCACTTAAAAGTGTCAATATATTAAACTTTAAATAAAAAGTGCTGTGACATACTGTATAGAAGAATTGGAGCCGCAACTTCAAAAGCTGTTATATGGAAATTGTTTAATTCGTTTCAGTTCTTCGTAGTCGGCTTTTTTAAATAAAAGTATAATTTTATAGTATTCTTTTGATGTGACTGCTCTTTATACGGTAGATATACAGTGCCCGATAATGACAAATATACAAAGGTAATGGCGTACAGAGTAATAGTGTTCTGTGGTAATAATAGTGACAACTGCGAATTGTGTGGAGTGTTCAGCCTTTTTAATAAAAAACTAGAGATCCGCCCCGGCTTCGCACGGGTGATTTCTGGATATCGACAACAGCTCCATCTGCAGGGTCGAATTGGGAATCTAAACAATCCAGGTACCTATTCAAATACACACAAAAAATTCATCAGAATTGATCAAGGCAATTTTCAGTTTTTGCGAGATTAACGGACAGCAGTTGATTTTATTAATATAAAGATTTAAAGCTTCTTTGACAAAGTTATAAAAACGTAATTGTTATATAGAATAGAATAATTTTTTATTCAATATATATCACATGTGTAATTCTTATTGAAAGTATTTTTTTACTTTACCACTGGTTCGAAAAAAACCCTCTATCCTGGGAAGAACCAGCAAGAAACCCAGCGGGACTTTTTTTTAAAATTAAATTTTACATTAATGGTTGTACAAACTATATAAGTACAAAATTTATTTTAGAAACAGCAACCATGTATTAATTTATACTATAATAACCGTTTTTATACACTTTCAACTTAACAAAACATTTAAACTTGGTAATAGAGAAAGCCTGTACACTTTCCGGGACCTCGTTGTAATAGCGTATACATTGCCCCGAGAATGAATTACTGACTCTGTGGAGTCGAGAATATAGAATATAGTATATTCGACGCGTATGTTTTTTCGCGTTTTATAAAGTCAGTTTTCCTTATTTGTTAAGGTTTAATTAATATAATATACAATAAATATTGCCAATTGCGCATCCACGTGCAATCACTGTA